GAAAAAAAAAATGAATTTGACAGGGTAATGAATGAAGTGATGGGATGCATTAAGAAATCTGAGTAGATGGAGAACAGTCTTGGGAGTGAGGGCATTTCCGTGGATTTTAGATTGAGGGTGGCTTGAGAAGCAAATGGCATTAAAAAGGAGAGGCTAAGGCAAATGGTAAGAACAACGAGGTTCTTTATACAGATATCTTTGCAAATTTACCCATCCTAGAGGTGAGAAAAAGAGACAAGGGCAGAGAGAGAGGACAAGAATTTGAGTTTACGTGGGAAGCTGCATTTCTTTTAAAGCTTTTAAACTCTATGACTAAGATTGTAATTCAAAGTGGGAACTTCAGATGAGGATCTGGATAATTAATAGCCCAGCCATAACAGAAATGCGAAGAAAAAACAAAAACACCCACAAAACAAACCAAAACCATAAACTCCCCCCCAAAATTCCAATAATCCCCTCAACTTCCAGTAAGGAAAAAAGAAGTTTCTTTCAAGCTCCTCTTAAGCCTGGTGAATTTCTTCCAATAATTGAATCATTTAGGTATTTGTTGACTACCGTCTCTTTAAATGTGCCTGTCTCATCATAGCTGCAGTGTGAATGAATGGGGACAGTGATTGATTGCAAAGTGTCTTAGTCAGTTGAAATTCTTGCTGACCAAATGAGAGTTGTCTGTGAGTTTGGAAAAAGGAAGAGGGAGTGATGGGGAGAAGAGAAAGCTGTAACTAAACATTCTTTTCATCAATGTCTTCTAATCAGGTTTAAATCTGCAGGCTGTACTCACTTTGCCAAAGAACATCCATCCTCTTTAATTTCCTTTCTTAAAGATGAAGATCCGAGACTCACAGATGTGGGTTTCTAGCTTGATGGTGCTCAGGGAGTGGCTAGCAGAGCTGTATGCAGTCTGGACTCAGCTCCCCGCCTGTTCAGGCACTTTGCTCTCCCGGGACTGCAGTAGCTGAATATGAAGCCCTTAAGGACGGGCCCTTTATTTAGATGACCTTCACTTGATTTCTGACCTTCATTTATTGTTCCCCCGAGCAGTGATATATAGTCTTCTTGCCTCAGCTAATACAAGGTACAAGAGATCTTGCCATCTGTTATGCTGTTTTGCAAATGCATGCAATACAGCTCAACGTAAAGTGTAAAAAGGTACTGAGCAGGAGGCACTGAGTTGCTTTCAAGCTGGGAGTGACCAGGTGTGGTAGCCCCACTGCTCACTATTTACAGCAAAGGAAACAGGCATCAGCTAACTGAGGCCACCTGCCCAGGGTCCCTGCTCAGGGGAATTAGTGTGAGCCCAACTCGGACCCTATTCTAACCCCAGCTAGTGCTCTTTCCCCTAACTTGACATTGCTTTAGCATCATTGCATAGATTTTTCACTTTGAAAACAAAGTGAACTTGTTTTTCAAAGTGAAAACAAAATTTCACTTGTGGAACAGCAAGTAGTAGATTTAGAGTATTTTGAGTAATTTAAATGTCAGATGTTGGGACTTAATGAAGAGCTGGGATCAGTTTTCAAAAGTAATTGCCTTCCTTGCCTCTTTCTTTGGAAAAATTTTCAGTATGCATTTTGTTTTGAGTAGGTCTTCACAGTTGTATTTCACACACCTTCCAAAAACATGCTCTCTCCTGACCAAATAATAACCTGGCTCATTTTCTACTAAGGAGTAAATCTAGCTCGTCTTGACAAAGTCTAGCCTTGTGTGGTGTGATGCAGCTTTGCATTTAACTTCCTTCGGTTTTCCAGTGTTTGCTTCTGGTCTCCATCTCTCACTGTCTGTTTCTGCTCCCTGGACTCTGAGCAGAGAGACTGTCTGATCTGGTCTCCCACAGAGCAGAAATGAAGCTGCTGAGAACTGCATTTGATAGAGAAAACATTTGCAGAACATGCATGCACCCAAAGGGTTTTTCTTTTCCTACTTCATAATTTGCATTCAAGAGCTTTACCAAGGGAGGGAAATATGCCAGAAAATATGGAACATCTGCTCTGACGCTGGTATTACTGGGATGACTAGGGGCTCCCCGGAGTAGGGGTGATGGGAGCCAGATGATGCTTCTAAGGAGATTTGCCAGTTTAAAAAGTGGCATCTGTGAAAACCTAGTAAGAATATAAGGAAT